TAAAATGACCATTATGACCCTATTTGTAATTATATGTAATTATTTTTGTTACTAATAGTTTAATGGAAGGAAAAAAAAATCAAAATGCATACTTTAAATATGGAACTGTTGGTAGATCAAACTAACCGTTCTTGTTTTAACTCATAAAAAAACTATCTTTTATGACCCGCTAGGTAGTACGCAGCAACACTGCATGTTGTGCGGCGAGTATAAATATTCTTTTAGGCCTTGTTTGTTTGTTCACAATTGATTTATTTTAATATGATTTAAATGTGTTAAATACCGTTCATGACATATTTTCGTTTAAATGAATGTTGATTATATGATTTAGATGTAAATTAATAACCTATATAAAATTTCACAATGGTAGTTATTATAAGAACCCATTTTGTGGGTTTTATGCAAGATTCTAAATGACGTGATACGTGGCATGACGACAAGATTAAGCTTCAAACTTTACGAGTTACGACGAGGCCATGGTGTCTTTTCAAGGCGTACCCTAAGTGGTATACACACATACACAGTTACACTTTCGTATGTTATTGTCCTGAATAATACTATAAAACAAGTGAAATTCATATAAAGTAATAAGTCTAAAAAAAATCATTTATACCAAATATATATAGCTCATAAAAACGATATTCAAAGTGTAAAATCGGGATTAAATCTCTTGAATCTCTACTCACTATCTCATTCAATTTTCAAATAGTTCGTCTTCGACTTTTCAAACGACTTTTCGTGTATTGGAATATTTACCTATTTAAGGTTTTGGTTTTTAAGTTTTCTTTTTATGTTTATTTAAGTCCCAAATCTCATATATAATTATCATTTATCTTTCAAGTTATATATTAAAATAATACCACCTTATAAAATAACGAGTCGTAATGTGGCATAACATGTTGTAACGCGTTACAATGCAAGTCAATCCTTAGAGTAGAGTCATAGAAAGTAACGTGGCAGCGAACCCAAACCTTGATGCCATAACGCATCATAACGAATTATTTAAAACCATGGTTCCATGTATTTCTTTTAACATCAATAACAATTATAAAGCCAACAAAATATATAAAAATCTAACAAAAAAATTAGTTCGCACCAATTTGTAGGTAAAAACCACGATTCTTGTATAAGAAGTGAAAGGATGTGAGGTTCTTATAAGAACTCACTTAAATAATGGTTTTCTAAGGAACCCACATTTTTTGCTTTTAAGATTTTTTTTTATTAACCTGGATATCCAACCCGCTATGTGAGCCGACTAATCTCAGTACGACCACCTAATTATAAGAAATTTTTATTGGGCTATAAAGGTATTCATGACGTTCCGAGCATTCAAAATCCTTATTCTGTTTCCATGTGTCATGCATATGTTCGTAAAATTGGAGCAGGTTTTTGATAATATGTAAATTGTCCTGATCTTTACACGTATGTTTCCATTTAATAACAACTTTTATAAAGTTTTCTTATAAAAATATTAATTACAAAACTTAATTAATCATTTAGTGTGGTAAAAGCATATATAGGCCTCGTGGGTATGTCCGAAATCATGATTTTGCCACTGTCCATTTCCATCAATTAATATTTATACACTTGTTCATCTTTGGTTGTCCAAGGCTGTTTTTTTAGCTTGTTAATTGGAGCTATCAGACCGGCCCTTACCTTCCATGGTAGGAAAGATCTCCCTGCATTTTCACGCATTACTTTAGTAGACACAAGGTTCATAGAGTACCAGGTTCAACATCTCGTCTTGTGTTTGAGGGCACATCATGCATATACAAACGTTATACCATTGTTGACAAGAAAAGTTGACAATATGTTTTGTAATTTTTATAAAAGCAAAATGGTTTCGATTTTGTGAAACCAGTTACGATTATGTAACTCCCCGTTATTGATGAAATTGATATTGTAACTATGGTGACATCGTTTCACTACCACGGTTACGACCAAATTCATGCACACACATACACTAAACTACAACTCACTGGTGGTTGGGTTCAACGGTTCATCAACGAATATTTTCAATTCGTTTCCCCAAAAAAAAATGCCACCAGTTGCAGACAAATATATAATAAAGACATTGTGTACAACATGAATGTGGCCTCAGATCTTTTGGCTTATTCATTTATGTTCTGATAATCTTTTTTAAGCATTTTGTTTACTTATAAAATAATATGCTAATTTTAATGTAATGTAATATGCAATGTCTTAACATATGAGTAGATAATATTTTATATATTTCTTTTCATTCTGAAATTTTAATTTTAATGATGAAAAACATTCATTTAACATATCATTTTTTTTTGAAGTATATAATATATATTATATATGGCAAATGCAATAAATAAACTCACACACCCTTCTCACAATTGGTGAAGTTTAAACCTCTGACCTCCTAGAAGGCAAGTGGTTCAGATACCGCTAGGCCAAATGTTAAAGTTATTATGATAATGTATCATTTCTCAGGGTGAAATGATGTTATAAAAACCACATTATCATTTGCAAGTTATCGGGTTGTTAAAAAAATCTGTATTAACTGTAAAATTTATCTCTATATCACATAAGAAATATTCTGAAAGTTGGTTTCTAAAATTACAAGATATGATGTAATTTATGAGCTAAATCATCAGCTGCAACATAATTTATAAAATAACTTTAATAATTACTTATAAAATAAAATACTTTTTTATTTCCTAATGTCACATAAAAAATCAGTAAAATATATTTATTTATTAATTAATATATAAATTAATTAGTTATTATGAAGTAAATATAATAATATAATAATTAAATATTTATATTTACGGAAGTTAAAATAAGCATTATTCGACACGTTTAAAATACTCTTTTATGCTTTATACTATTTTATTGCATTTATGCATATTTAATTTATTAATAAAAAACAAAAAAAAATGAAATTTTTATATTTAGGTTTATAAAAGATATAAAAAATATCATTTTTACAAATATACCCTTAGTTTTGTAATTTTAATAATCTTTTTAAATGGTTTTAATTTTTTTTTCCTCTTCTTCCACCATGGTATGATATTAATCATCGTAAAGTTTAATTTTGATCTCTAACGTAATTTTAAATGAATGTCATCCGTAAACTTTAAAACTTGGATTTCGTCCCGTACATTTGTCAATTCCTAACAATTTTTAGTCTATCTCTCTAACGGTTGTTAACTTTCTTCTTTAAATTTCAATTAAATGATGGATATTTTAGTAATTTTCACTATTTTTATTGTATTAAAATAAAGATAAGATCTTATATTTTTATTTATGAATTGTTACTAAAAAAATTAAATACGGTGATTATTCTTTATTTTTCTATTCTGTTTTATAATTAAAAATAAAAATATAATATGTTTTTTTGAAGTTAAAAAAAATTGAAAAATAATAAAAAGGAATAAAATCATGGGTGTTCAAAAAAACTGTTGGACCGTTCAAACCAAGTAAAATCGTATCGTTTTTGGCAGTTTGAGCGGTCAGACGGTCCGGTCTGGTGTGAAAAATTGCCATACCATTTGGTTCGATCTATTATGTAGTTTGAACGTTTTTTTGAGTGGTTTAAACTGAACTGACTGCCATAAAATACACATATGTTAGTTATATTTAGTTTTTAGGTTGTAGATTCAACTTCATGACACAATTAAAAAAAGTTCGTAAAAGACATTATGCTTTTTAGTTTCGTTTCTTTGTTGATCACGTCTATCTAAATTGACAAATTTCCAAAGTCAATCAAAAATCAAATCCAAAATTTAGACCGACCTTCGACTTGCTCAATGTTCGTGCAAAACTCCAATTATGTGTTATGTTTTACTAAGCTAAAAGCTCATAAGAGGCCCAAACTGCATAAACCGGTCAAAGCAGACCGCCTTTTTGTGGTCCGGTTTGGTCACTTGCCGTCAAACCGTTCGGTTTATAAACTTTTCTAAACTATCATTGTGGTTTGGTTTGTGGTTTGAGAGGTTAAACCGATCAAACCGCACCGTAAACATACGTCTAACTAAAATAATATTTATTTACCTGAGTATCGTCAACTTTTTTTTTGGAATTCCGGCGACACTTTACATATTCAATTAGAAAATGCGATAGTGGCCGGTGAAAAAGTGAAGACCCTCCGACAAAATCTAAGAATACCACCGCCATCACCCACCACACCACCGCCACCACCGGCCAAGGTTTATTTATAAAGGTTTTTCATATATGCAACGAGTATTATTAATTATATACGGTACGTAAAAAAAACTTGTCTTTTTGTATAAAGATTTATGGGCAAATTGCACGAAAAAAATAATGTAGTTTAACTTGATTTCTTACATTAACTTGATTTCTGTTATGGGTAACGTAGTTTTAAAACTTCAATTTTGGTACCTAAGATGTAAAGTTTTAAACATTTAAATACTTGGGTAACCGGTTAGAGCATTAACTAGTTACTATGTTGATGTGGTATATTATTTGCTGAAGCATTAACCGGATACCACATCACTCGCCATATCAGCATGATAATCGGTTAATGCTTCAACTTGTTACTCGTGTACTTAAATGTTTAAAGTTTTACATCTTAGGTACCAAAATTGAATTTTGAAAATACGTTACCCAAAATATAAATCAAGTTAAATTACGTTACTTTTTAATGCAATTTGTCCGGTGAACTAAAATCTTACCCGCTAAATAAATGACAGTGTTAAATTTTACAGGTAAATGCTTACCGGGTAAGTGTTTGGTAAAACGACCCTTAAGTTTTCATGTTACATATAGGAAGATCAACCAATTTCACCTTATACCAATAAGCGTTGGGTCTATAGGGTTTCTCTTTAGTGGTCATCAGCTCGAATACAACATTGTCACTGAGATTTCTTGACCGTTCTCTAAGACTTTTAGAATCAGATGCTTAAACCTGAATATGTGCATCAATTGATTTGATTTGGTACAAAATTGACACCCCGGTGATGGAAGATATTTATTATAAGTAGGTGTGCACATGATACTCACTTGCCTCGCAATTGCCTTTGGGATATAAAGAATCTTTCCGCTGGGTCCCTCAAATCTCACCCCCTCTTACCCGCTCCGGCAATCGTTCCTATCCAAATGGCCGGAAAAGTTATCTCCACTGGAATCCGTTATCATACTTTACCGGAGAGTTACGTTCGTCCGGTTACTGATAGACCTAACTTATCTCTCGTCTCCAACTGCAACGACGTTCCAGTTATTGACTTCGGTAACGCTGATAGACGTCTCATAATCCAGCAAATTGGCGATGCTTGTCGTCGTTATGGTTTTTTCCAGGTTCGTCATCGTCTCTCTGAATTTTTTTGTGTTTGTAAATTCAGGAATGGATTGTGTCGATTATACATGTAAATCAACTGTCAGGTAATAAATCATGGTGTTCCGGATGAAATCGTGGAGAAAATGCAACAAGTAGGTAGAGAATTTTTCCTGCTGCCGGTGGAAGAGAAGATGAAGCTGTACTCAGAGGATCCGTCGAAGACGATGAGGTTATCGACGAGTTTCAATGTGCAGAAAGAACAAGTTCATAATTGGCGAGATTATCTCCGACTTCACTGTTATCCCTTGGATCAATACTCTCCTGAATGGCCTTCCAATCCTTCTTCATTCAAGTAATTCCTCTTTCCCCAATCTCTGCAACTCTCTCTCACACACACAAACATAAACACCGAGTTCATGACATAGAAATTTTCTAACCAACCTCCATTGACATGCATTTTTGATGAACATCAAATAAAAGTGCGACCTATCATCCAACCGTCATTTGATTTCAGTAAAATAAATCGATTCTTCCACCAATTGCTAATAATTTTGAACATCTTAAACGTTTCTGTTATCTGCAATCAACTTTTATGAGATGATAGTTACTTTCGAATCATCCTATGGATTATGTCTTAATGGTTCATGACAATGACTTGAAAAAAACTGAAAATCGATTAACCTGTACAATTCAGGTCATAATGGTCGACTTTACATGAACAATGAATCTATCGTATGAACATAAAGAATTTGTTCATGTGATTGGCCCCATCGCCATTAAATAAAAGAAAGCTAAAAGAGTGGACCGTTATCGCAAAAGGCTAGTCCATCTTATAATGATTTTTCCGTAATGAATTAGAACATCTACGCTAATTTATCGGGCAGATTGCATGAAAAAACAACGTATTTTAACTTGATTCATATTTTGAATAACATATTTTCAGAACTTTCATTTTTATACCTAAAATGTAAAGTTTTAAACATTTAAGTACCAGAATGAAAGTTTTAAAAGTACGTTACCTAAAATAAGAATCAAGTTAAAATATATTGTTTTTTCATTTAATTTGCCCTAAATTATGGAAAACATAGATTTTTGAATTTTTGTTCAAAGAGATTATCCAAAAATATTAGAGAAAATTAATATTTTATGAAAGATGTTGAATATTTTAATAATATAATTTATATTGATATTTTCGAAATAAATAAATTATTGAAAATGAATAATTTCTTCGGAAGATTTTAATTTTTTTTATAGAATATAGAGAGCTCTTAGTACTTATATGACTTTTTTTTGAATTATTTGATATTTATATACAACAAATAGTATAAATAAACATACACATCCTCTTCATCTTTGATGATGTTTGAACTTCTGGTTTATTAGTACTTTATCCCACTTGAACTTTGGTTCTTGCTACGTTTTCCAAATTGTCCTTTTAAATATTATATAAGAGCTATTAGAAAAATATTGAACATCAATCAATTAAACATCTTTGACTTTGATTAGTTTTTGTAATTAATTATAGACATAATCAAATTTAACTAATGATTAATGTCGGCTTCTACTTATCTATACTATCTTATAAAGCAAATTTAACAAAAGTCTTAAAGTTTTAAAATAATAAATGACCAAGATACCTTTTAAATACTTTTTTCACTTTTTCACCCCCGCCTCTCCTCATATGCACTCACCCCCTCACATACCCCTATAATTAGTTAGTTAATTTACTTTACGTCATTTACTTTTAAATGTTTCATTTTAAACCTTTATGGAATTAATATACATAATCGTATATCAATTAAAACATGTTTAAAAAATACATTTTTATTTTAACAAGTTACACCATTATAATCGTCTATTTAATACCTTTGAAATGAGTCTAATATTGAATGGTTTTTAACTTAATTATATTATTATATATTATATATATACTATGAAAAAATATTTTTAATATTTACGATTTATACTTTTATAGTTATTTATATATATATATATATATATATATATATTATATTTTGGGGTTAGACAGTCCAAATTGCACTATATAATATGTTCTGAATTAATATGTTCTTGGGTTTTTTTTTAAATATATATATATATATATATGTATTAGTTCAACCTTAATCTGAGTTTCTGGACAAGAAATAGGGTAAACAGTTGAAATTTCATTCTAAAACTCATCTTTTTTTGTCTTTTCATGACTTATGATCTGTTAAATTTGTAGTTTTCTTTATTGTTTTTGAGTGTTTATCTTAAAACTCAAGTTTCTTGGTTCTTTGTTCTTGGTGTAAATCGAACACATTTGTGGAGTCGTTTAAATATATTGGATTTTAAACTGTCATACAATTTTTTCATCGATAGTCTGTAATTGGAACTATAACTCTTATTTATTCAAATTGTATTAATATGTAAAGACCAAGTGTAACTTATATCATCGTTAAATCTTATCTTATAAAACCAGTGGAACATCAAAATCGTTAAAATTAATGGCTCCCGCCGACTATAGACAACTTTTCTTTGGCATTATTGAATACAACAATCTATCTTACATCTTATATAATAATATGAAAACATAGCATTAATAAGAAAATTAAGGGTTTATTTTGGAAAATAAAAATGCAAGTAAAGATGAAAACAATAATAAATTTTTATTTCCTCTAATTTAATCTAGAATGAGAAAATGAACACATGATCGATTAAATTCATTATATTATATAAACCGAACAGTTTATTTTTATTTTGAAATACAATATAATATAATTATCGGAACTAAAATTTCATCGATTGAAATTTCTATTAGTGCGATAAACAATAAATACTTTTATGTTATTTTCATCGATTAAATTTGAGAGATTTCAAAAGGGAGTTACATAAAAATTTGTGTTGTTGCATACAGATATTTTTAGCCATTTTAGAAATATTTTTAGATGAAGAACTATCCGTAATATAAAATTGATGTTAGTTTATATGTTTATATAAAAATTACAAGAAATTTGACGGAGTCTTTACATCTTAGCTTCGCCTTAGAAGGTGCTGCAAATACCCACATGGGCAAGCAAGATATTTAATAAACGTGGACGGTTGATGACTTATCAACATGTGAATGGCGTAAGCCATGACTGTTTATATCGATGTCACTCGGACACCCTTTTATTCCTCTCTCTCAATATTTCAATATTACCATCTCTCTCTCTCTCTCTTTTATATATATATATATATATATATATATTTAACAAACGTGGACGGTTGATGACTTATCAATAGTGAATGGCGTAAGCCATGATTATTTATATCGATGTCACTCGGACACCCTTTTATTCCTCTCTCTCAATATTTCAATATTACCATCTCTCTCTCTCTCATATATATATATATATATATATCCCCCAAAGTTTTACCGATTGTAAAAAAAATACATTTAGTAAGACGTTAATATATTCTTATTTTTTTTAAAAAGCAACCAATATTATAAAATAACAAAAAAGCCTGTAAAGTGGATACCTAAACTTTATGCAAGCTACAAAATAACCTCCAAAAAAAATAGGGAACATGGATAAGAAAAACAAATGATAGAAATTAAACACGAGAGAACCACCTTAAAAATAGATGAAATAAAGACGACAAGGCTTCTACACTAAGGACGGGTTATAACACTAATATATTTAAGAGTTTGTTTGTTTACCTCTTAATAGTTCCAATAAAAGTCAACATCTGAATCTTTAAGAGGTGAATCTTGTTTGACATAAAAAAAGTTTGACTCTTAAAAAACTCTCTGAGTGATTTTGTATCATGAATATCTCTTAATCATTAAACGTCTTAATTTCATTGTAAACAATTACCAAATAATTATATTTCATTTTGCACTATATCATGAGAGCCTCTCAATCATTCTGACCATTTAATGATTCTGTAACAAATTATTCAGCAACTGTCAAATAGCCTCTAAGAAGAAATAAAACCTTTTGAATGATGAACTATAAATTTGTTTTCTAATTATTTGTTTTGATTAAATATAATTAACACCTCGTTATGTTTTTTTTTTTTGTTTTCTAATTATTTTGCTTTTTTTAAAGACATAATATTTGTATACTTTATATTTTTGTTTTTATTGAGGTTTAAAATCTTGATTTCTTAAAAAATTAGGCTCTATCCATAATCTGGTATTGAGCCTATAGTCTTTTAGTATTTTATTTTAAAATTTACTTTTAGACTAGTTGAAAATTTAATTGATCTATACAACTTGTTAAATAACAACAATATTGATTTATTTTACGAAAATTCATTAAGATAGTTATTTTTTACATTAGTTTTCACCTTTTAGTCATTTCTTTCTAAAATTACGAAAATATCATACATCCATAGTTAGCAAATTCATAATTTGTGGAGAAGTCTAAAAAAAATAAAAGTTTTTGAACCAGGTCTACAATTGTAGGTATTAAATATGTAAATTAGTTACTAGGTCAGCAAAAAATGTGTCCTTTTTCTAAATTAACATATTTGGTCTCGACCATTGTAGATTTGGTTCAAAAACTTTGTTTTCCTTACACTTTGAGCTCTTATTAAATTGTTGGCCTATGCTTATTTTTGTAATTTTTAGAAGAAAATGAATAAAAGGTAAAAATGTGATAAAAAAAAATCAATTTTAATTAATTTTCCTTCATTTTAAATGTTGGTATCGAATTTTTAGGAGGTGACCTATATTTATTGTTAATATTAAATATTTGATGAATTATATGACTAGTATTAAATGATTATTTAATAACCAAAAGTGATTTAAAAGAAACTCTTACGTCAAATTACTGCTTTATTATTAAGTGGAGATTGCTCCAACAAATTTGATAATGAACTTTGAAAAAAATAATATTTAATAAATTATAAAAGACATTGGTATTAGGTAAACAACTTTTTACAAACCATAAATTACCCTTGTCAGTTTTGAACATTGATAGTAAGTTTTTCTTTCATGCAATAATATAATAAAGAGAGCATGTTTTCTTTTATTGAAAAGTAATAGAAGAATCTACTAAAATGGTATCAAGGCAAAGTACTGTCAGAAGTCAACTGATTCTTTAATGAATCTTCAATACTTATATTCTTTAACTAAAGTTTACGAGGTTTTATGGATATGTGTTGGATAACAATATATTTCTCTTTTGAAAAGAAAATATAATATCTTAATGCAATCCATTATATATATATATATATATATAGTACTTTTTAAAAATATAATTCGATAATTTTTATTATGTATGAATGAAAACAAATATGATATTGGATTGGTCACATAACTTAGTTTTGAGCATCTCATGATGAGTCATGACTTGAAATATTTTGATTAAAAAAAATATACAACCAAAGAAATGTTATCTTTGAGTTCACTTTCTTTATTTTTGATAAAAAAATTATGTATGGACTCTTTTGCAAGAATTGACGTTTATATAGTTGTAGATCATACGTCTTCTATTGAAATGTTATCCATTGAATTTTGTCTAACTTATATTTGGATGAGATTTATATGGGCCTAGGTTGATCAAAAGAATCATTAAAAACTACAATAAACTGATGATAAAAGTAATATCAGGGTCTAATAATAACAAAGTATATATCGAGTATAGAGAACCCCAATATTACCTTTAAATATGAATTATCAAGTAAAAAAATAAAATGAAAACCAAGAATATATAATGGAGGTTACTGGGTTAGTTTGATATCCATATGAAATTGAAGATGTTTGAATTAAACATGTAAAATTGAGTCATATATGTTAAATAATTATTTAAAATTTTAAGATTTTGATTTGAAATTTAATAGTTTTATAATAAAACTTAAATATTTTAGAAAAAGTTTGTACAGATTAGAGAAATTTGTAATTTAAAAACAAAAATACAGCATCCCTCTTGTTATATTTGTTTACTTACCAAATACAAGTCCACAGTGGTGGTGTATGATGTAAGGACAGAGACACGTCACGTGAGGTTCCAGTGATTGGTAAGAACAAGTACATCTGAATTTTCATGGACTCCACCATCCCGTGTTTATGTCCCACGCGGTTCTCTGACGTCATATTCAACTTGCCGTGTTGACGTCATTCCAATTCATTTATTTTAATATTTTTTTTTTATATTTCTACTAAGCTACCACAAATGTCCTCTTTGTCGTTTGTTGGAAATAAAATATTTCCTTCATGCAGTGGTTTTTTAAAAAAGTTTGGATTTTGTTTGAAAAAATTCAGTTAAACGATGAGTATTTTATTCTTTTATCATAGGTTCTAAATGACAGAGGTGAAACGTGACAGCAAGGTCAAGCCTTCATCCTTAGAAACCATGATGTTTTTTAAGTCATTATTTACGACTACAAATCTCTATATCATATATAGTACTATACATATAAACATATGTTTTCTACTTTTACTTCATGTGTCAATGCTATTAATTTATTTAATTATACATTAGAATCTAACAAATAAGACACTAAAAATGTACGGAAAATTAATAATTGAATAAAAAGATCATAGATTAGAACATGGTGTGAGACACAAGCCTTAAGTGACGGCATGCCAACTATGCCTGCTTAAGAAACAGGCATAACGTGGTCCTAGAGCACTCCCTTTTATTAATTTTTTGTTTTTGATTGGGTAAAAGACCAAAAAATAGATAAAATGATGAACACGATCCTCCTTTAATCGAATTTCATAATGGTTGTTAGAGGAATGGACCAAATCCAAACGTTTTTGTAGAATACGATGGCTATCTTGTGATTTCGAAATGTAGGGACGAAAAAGTGATTTATTTTCGTTGGTAGCACAAAAATCTGAAGGCATTGATTGAGCAGATTGTGTATTTAAAAAGGATTACCTACAACTCTTTACGGAATGAAGTATATATATATATATATATATATATATATATGCATGTAGACAATAATTTGATATATGATTGCATGATGGAATTATATATGTGTATATTTTTCAGGGAAAATGTGGGGAATTACTGCAGGGCAATAAGAGAGTTGGGGATGAGAATATTGGAAGCCATATCGGAAAGCTTAGGCTTAGAAAAAGAAGTGATAAGAAACATATTAGGAGATCAAGGTCAACATATGGCTATCAACCACTATCCAGTGTGCCCTGAACCCGAGCTAACGTATGGTTTGCCTGGTCATACCGACCCCAATGCTCTCACCATCCTCCTTCAAGACACCCTCGTCTCTGGCCTTCAAGTCTTTAAAGATGGTAAGTGGTTAGCCGTTAGCCCACACCCCAATGCATTTGTCATCAACATTGGCGACCAACTTGAGGTACCAACCTTATTCATTAACTAAACTTTCTAGACTTTTCATTTGTTATTAACCTTTCACCATCAATCATTATTTATGGGATAACGTTTTCCGAAAAAATAAATGACGCAATTTTGGTTCTTATTGGGTACTAATTAATTTTTTGATGCATAGGCGGTGAGTAACGGTGAATACAAGAGCGTGTGGCACCGTGCGGTAGTGAATTCAGACAAACCTAGAATGTCGATAGCATCGTTTTTGTGTCCATGTAACGACTCCATCATCAGTGCTCCTCAAGAACTAACAGAAAAAGATGGATCGAAAGCGGTTTTCAAGAAGTTTACATATGCAGAATACTATAAGAAGTTTTGGAGTCGAAATCTTGATCAAAAAGAACACTGCTTAGAATTCTTCAAGAACTAGTTATAATTATGCATCAAAATCTTAAGTCCTCCCCGCCCAATTTGTTGCTACATATTTAAATAACTTAAATAAATATTTGTGTTTAATTATGAACATTAAAATTAAATACATATATATATTTATAAATTTTAATAAATAATGGATTTAAGGTTGAAGGGAGGTGAGGTTGGTAGACAATTTCTGTTGCTTATTTGTAGCATGTTACCTGTCCTTATTCAAAGAAAAGGAAGCCATAAATGTTGGGTTGGGGCCCTTTACTTGACTTTATGAATCATTTTATAAGTTTTTAGCTGTTTTATGTTTTTGTTTCTTTGTCAATTGAGTTATAAGTGTTTTTGATTGCTGTGTTTGTGGTCCTGCTTAGATAATTTAACCTTCGAATCATACATTAAACTGTAAATGATCAAATCAGACCATGAAAAAGTGGTGTTGATGTCTCTGATTTGACCGTTTTGGGTATAATATGAGCTTTAAACTAATAAAATCTTACATTTATTTTAAATCAAGTTTCTACGAATATAACATTACTAAAAACAACCCTGTATTAAATTATACGAGGAGCCTTGATCTCTAACCTTAAAAAAACATTGAGCAATTTGATGAAAAGTTGAGCAAGTTCACCATTGACAAGTCGAATGACTGTTTGGAATTATATATTTTGATTTTCGACGAATTTAGGAATTTTGTTGATTTAGATAACACATACAAATTGAGAACTGAAAAACAAAAAACTTAATTGGGCCATAAAAGTTGATCCTACAACTTTAAAACGAAATATAATCAATACATGTGTATTTCAATGGTTGGTTCGGTCCAAACCATTAAAAAAATGTTCAAACCATAGACCAGATCGGATCTGACTTAGTGGTTTGGCTAATTTTCAAATCAAACCGAACTGCAAGAACGATTAAACAACAAAAAATGATCCCATTTAACTTGGTTCTACTTATTTGAACGGTTTGACACTTTTATTTGAATACCCCTAGTTTTAATTTTTAGTTGCTGATTAATTTTGGATTTGAATGTTACAAATACATAATGAATTGAAATTACGTGATTCCGTATATATAATTGACAGTATTTCTACATGTCAATGGGTCGAAAGTTCGAAAAAAGTTTCAAATTTAAGACATGGACCAAGAAGTTTAGAGCCATCTGTAACATTCAAATTTTTCATGACTTATTTTTTTTAAGTATATATAATACTTATATACGCTAAATTTAACAAGTAAACTCACACACCTTTTTTCATGACTTATTCTTTACACTTATTAATGGATGTTCAAACGAGAAATGAATTAAATTGAATTGATAATCAAATCCGTTAAAATGTAAAGGGAGTCAAATCACTGATATAAAGTTTGTGTATGGTGACTGATATGCATGATCATCGTCTTATAACATTTTATATTCATTTTTTAAACAAAATGAACAGGTAAAGTATCTTTAATAAAATACCAGATAAACGTATAACATCTGTTTGCTCTATATTGTGTATGCAAAATAACATAAGTGCACAAATGTTTTCATAAATAACTAAACATATTCGTTATGAAAATGTAAACATGCTAATGGTATATAATGTTTTTGTTTTTCTTGATCGATTTAATGGTTAATTTATTTAGAGTTTGTTTGTTTATCTTTTAATAGTTTCATTAAGATACAACTTTTAAATCGTTAAGAGGTGAATATTGTTTGACAATTTTTTTTTTGGTCTCTTAATGGTTCTAAAACCATCTGAATAATTTTTGTATATTGGGTCTCCCTTAACCATTCAGTGCTCAAATTTCATTATAATCAATTACGAAACAATTATATTTCATTGTGCACTACATCATGATTCATGAGAGACTCTTAATCATTCTGATCACTTAATCATCTTATATCAAACCATTCAATAACTGTCAAACAATCATTTTAATCATTAAATAATTTTTAACTGTGTTTAAATTAATTGTATTAAATAACCTGCAACATAATTTTTGTGCAAATTCAATTATTTTATTTTAACAAATATTGATTGTAAATAAAACCTTAATGAAAAACCATGTGATAGAAGAAGAATAATGTAATAAATTATCTTCAATACAAATAACAAATAATGATTATGTATTTATCATAGATCTCCAACTACTATTAATCATTAATGCACTAATAATAATCTATATAATAACTAAAGGGTCTTTAGCCTAACAGTATCGTAGTCTTTGACCTTCTATAAGGATAAGGGTTCAAACATCATCAAATGTGTGGAGAGTGTATGAGTTTACTTGTTGTATTTACCGTATATAACTATTATATAATTTAAAAAAATCCATATAATACTCATTTTAGGAGTTAAGATTTGTTCACAAGCCGACGGTTTTCACAAAAACAACTGATTTTGTATTTTTTGACGATTAATGTAAAATCATATATGATTTTGTATATTAACGACATTTTTTTGTTTTCTTAATTAATTAGCATTCTCGTTTGAATCTTATATATACTAGAAGGGTACTCGCGCAATGCAGCGAGATACATCTCGATTTTAATGTTTTATTTTATTCTTTGTCGCCATCGATGCTATAATACGATTTTATATGTTTTTTTTATAAAAATAACGATTTTATTTTTGAATAAAATATAAATTTGAAGATATCATAAATTTTTGAATTTTTTTATATCAATGTTAGTATCAAATTGACTATTTAAAAATTCTCATTTTTTGTTTAATTTATTTAGTTTAATTTTGTTTATAATTTAATTTAATTTTAACTAGAAGCGTACTCGCGCAATGCAGCGAGATACATCATGATTTTAATATTTCATTTT